TGGTGGCCCTGGGCTCCATGGTGAGCATCTTTCAGTCCCAGGAAGTCCTCAAGGAGATGAACAATGCCTTTGCCCTTCTCTCTCAAAGGGTAATATGGAAGTGTAACCCTTCTCTTTGGCCCAAAGGCATCAAATTGGCAATAAAACTGGCTTCTTCCTTGCCAAGAGCTGCCCAGGTCTGCTTCTCTCTTCTCATTTATGTGTGTTTAGGGCCCATCAAGGCCATGACCTTTAATTGGGCAATACGTGAGAAAAAGATGCTGACAGGTAAAATTCAAGTGCCTAGAAGACAGGAATGAATCACCCAGCTAGAATCATTGGGGAATCAGGCTCCCCTTCCATTGAGATCTTGCCTTCATTATCTTCTTGACCTACTGCATTTGGTCTTAAGCAAGATACTGAAATACAATTTAAAAACAACCTGTGAACTCTGAGAATATATGCGAAGGGTCTATATTATTGTTTTCATAAATACCTATTCATCCACCCCGTATTTTACACACACACACACACACACACACACACACACACACACACACACACACACAGATCCATCTTAGTTACTAAGTGTGAGCAACCCATACCTTCACAACATGAATGCCAATAGTGTCTTGAGGATGTACCGATACACCTGAAGGCCAAGTTGAGCAACCTCATAGCCAGTTATCTTCTCCACTGCGTCTCTGTTACTAGAGAGTTCTCTAACTCCCCACCAGGTTTTCTCTGTATTCAGTGCTGCTTCTTAGAGACCCCTCCCTGCCGTAGCCCCTGGCTGGATCAGAGGCTCATAACCAAGATTATGAATAAAAGAATCTGCAGAATTTACGCGTAGTGTCCTGGTTTCACTTCTGCAAATGTATTCCTGAAATCTGAGATGGGACACATGATTCTCATTTCCAAAAAGAGACAAGTAGTTTTCTTTTTTTTGGTATCATTAATATACACTTAGATGAGCAACATTGTGGTTACTAGATTCTCCCCATTATCAAGTCCCCACCACATACCCCATTACAGTCAAGAGACAAATAATTTTTGATGCATATGCAGTTGAGCAGCACAGCCTGAAATGAACTCTTCATTATCAACAATCATTTTAGTGAGCTCGTTAGAGGTGTGAAGACTGAAACTGGAAATACTGAGGTGTAATGTCCAGTCTCTGCTTTCAAGGGGTTTCTCGTATATATGAGGAGACATCATATACAATGTCAGTTTTGTGAGTGTCATATGACCTGTAATATCATTGTATGTGTCAGTGATACAGGAAAGGGGTAAATTAGTTGGCAGGTGCTCAAAACAGAGAGAAAGAGAAACTGAGGTAGAGACAGAGACAGAGTGACAGAGAGTGACACAAAGAGAAAACACATGAGAGAAGCAAAGATACAGATGATGGATAGATAGATGTATGGCTACAGTGATAACAGTGCTCAACACTATTCTCTACAGAATTCTCTGGGTTCTGAGTCAGCTGGATTCTGACTAGCAAAAGGTGTCTTCAGGGTGAGTGGATTGGAATCCCGTCGGTTGAATCATGCACCTTGAATCTGTCCCAAGCAAAATTATCTTCATGATGGCTCCAACACATCTTTGTGATTACCTTGGTATTTTCTTCTGCTCTTGATGCTTTCCCTGGTGTTCTGAAAATATTCATCCAGAAACATCCTGCTTTCTCTTTTATTTGCAACATCTCACTCTCACCTCTGAATTTTTGTCACCCATTAGAGAGTGAATAGAATAATTTTAACATGGCATGCCCATGGCGGGGATTTCTGTCTTTGGAGAGCAGTGTGAAAACCTGCTCCAAATAGCAGGCAAACATTTAAGTGTCTCTCTCCAGTTAATGAAGTTGAGGAATGAGACATCAGCTCTGATGATGAAGCAAATCATAGAAGAAAGAGGTATACAGTTCTCTGGGCTTGAGGTCATATAGGAAGACATCAGATATCAAGGACACTGTGTGCATCTTGTTTGTAATAAAGGCTGAAACTTTGAGGACACAAAATAATATGAGTGCAATGCTGACACATTACCTGTTTCTTTGGAAAAATTGGCAATTTAGGTTATAGCTGGGAATTATTTTCTACCTTATGGTTGTGAGGGACACAAACTATCTGTACAGAGTCCCTGAGATGTCTTATATTTTGGGGGCACCTGTAAAGTAGAGTTTCCACTGAGGCAAGAGGTTGCCCTTCTGTCCAACATGCCACACTGTGCCTACCTCAGGCCCTTTGTCTGTGCTGCTCCCAAGAACACCCTTCCCTTCTGCTCACAGGCAGCTCCTTCATGACATTGGGGTATCAGTGTTGTTTCTTCAGAGGCTGGTCACTGTCCGACAGTCCTAACTAGACTCTTCTCCCACCCAGTCCAATCATAATTCATTATTTCCATCTTAACACTCCTTGGGATCTGTGACTACCCCATTGCTTTATGTTTTAATTTTTGTCTGTCCTGCCACAATAGAGTGTGGAGCGTGAGCTCCCCCAGACAGCAAGGTGTGGCTCTTGTTTCTGCTGTGTTCTTGGGCCCCTCCCAGGGCTGCCACAAAGTAAGTTTGAATGAATTTCTGTTACCTGAGTGGATACATGGGGTCCCTTGATCCTCTGGTAACTTCCAGTCAGCACAATGTGAAGACAAAAATATATATTTTCTTTCTTATAACTAAGAGGGATTGAGTAACTTGGTGTTAGAAGGGCATAAAGCTGAATCAAATTTCAAGACTTAACATGTTACCTTGCACATAGGAGACATGCAATCACTTCTTGTTATATGACTGAAAACAAGTTTTCAGTTTGTGATTCTCAGTCCTGGAAAGCTTGGAAAGCTGCGGGTGTTGGACAACCCTGGAAATTTGGTTACACTGGGTTCCTCATATGTTGCAAATATTCACTTTCTGGAGAGTGAATTTGTAACTTATATTGGATTTTCATAGACCCAGACCTGAAATGTCAGTCATTCACAAGCCCCTGTGTAGGTGTCATCTGGGCTGTGATGGTCTCCAGACATTGTGCCCCAGGGCAAGGTTTATCATCTGTGGGGTCCATTGGAAAGTGGAAATGTGGAGACCCTTGTGTAAAGCTTAAATGTTTAAAAATGGTGACAATAGAGAATTAAATCACTCAGAGGACCCATCTATATGGGTCCCTGAGCAAATATGCCCCAGACTACAGCCAGAAACCAGCACTGCTCAACATGCAGCTCTAAATGAGAGGACACACAGGCCTCATCCTAGGCCACAACCTGCAAAGTCACATAGCCCAGATGCCAGAACAAAAATAGGTCACCTTTCTCTCTCATATAGAATTTTTTTACAGTATGTCGTATTCTTTCAGATAGGAACAGGTCCTTCCAGAATTAGTCACTTTTAAATAATTTAGCACTTTTTGCACTAGATCTTTATATGTATGTCTTCATTTGATCTTTTCAAAGGAACCCAGTTAAACTGTGGCAAAGGCAGGGCAATGACTTTTCTTTGCAATTGAGCATTTTGAGAATATGATGGCAAGTGTGTGTGTGTGATATAAGGTCTCTAAGACTTCTGGACTACATGAGCAAACTCCTGTCTCAGAACAAAGAGAAACAATTGAAATAAAAAATTTTTCAAAGGTGTGACATAACTGTACTGTAATGAAAGAAAAATGAACACAATTGCAGTTTGTACACAGTACTTTGAATATTTTTATTGTCAATCTAAAGAAAAAAATGTAAAAATCTTGTAGTCCCTTGAGATGTTAACGGTTAGTGGATCAGTGGATCAGAACCTTCATTCAGTGCATGGTATGACTGAGCAAATGAGTAAAAATACCAAAAATGTTGAGAGTCAGATTTCTTAACTTTGGAAAGGCTAATTACAAATGTGGAAATGAGAAGATTAGCTTCACCTCTGTGGTGTCATACTAGAATTGAAGGTGTCAATATGAATTCATAATTTTTTATAAATGAAATATAAACATGGTTATATAGACAGATATAGATATGTGATATTTATACCCACATCCGCGTTTATATCTTTCATAACTCTGTCCACTGAAAAGGGATTATAAACATTGGCGCTTCATTAGCAATGAGCACTTCTACCAATGATATCCAGGTTTCCAAATACGATTCTCTACTACAGGAGTCCTTGAGAAATGGATAATTTTAAGACAGACACAAGGAAAGTATAAGATACTACGTAGGATATTGGGAGAATGGGTGGAATTTGATAAAGTGTGAAGATAAGGTGATGTGATTCATTAATGTTTAATGGTTAACATTTAACTGAGAAGTATAGTATCTGAAAAGATTTAAATCGTCGACATGTATATACATAATCACGTGACTGCCATGAGTTTAACGCAAAAATGGAGAGACGTACAAGAAAAAAATGGATTATTGGAGAGTTTTAAAAAAATTTCTAATGAAAACTTTTAAGCATTTATGGAAGTAGAGCTTGAGGCCCACCACCCCTACCGATTTTATGATGCTCTTGAAGAATTACAAGCTCATCTCAGGAGGTTCAGTCCTCCAAGTAAAGACCTGGACTTCAACAGGTGGTTAATACTAAGGAATCTAGCACCTTTCATGAATAAGTTTCTTTCTAAAGAAACTGAGCAGTTTTGGGAGTTTTCTCCTGAGATTTAGAGCAAGGGACACTAGAAGAGATTTTTAAGCAGGTATATGGGGAATCGGGAATGGGGAAGGCTGTTTGGGATGATTATGTCAGAAAGGTGATGGGGTCCTGTAACTTCGGGTCGGATCCCTAAAGGTCACCCTGTCACTTGGAGGTGACCTTTCTTTGACGTGATTTCCTAAAGTCTCTACCCACCACTCCCGGCTCACAGTATTTTCAATGAGGAGAGAGTAGTGATTACAAGGACACGGACGGGTTAAGGATCAGCTCACTAAGTTCTTCTTCCCACTGCCCTTGGTGGGGGGGTGAGGACAGAATTTCCAAAGGAGCACACACCCAGGGAGGAGGGGCAGAGGGAGAGAGGGGACAAACGACATAGATAGGCGGGACCCACGACTACTCACTTCCAAAGCTCCCAGCCAGCGCCCCACCTTGCCTGGCTGCCCGCGCGTGTCCGCCTGGGCTCAGGACCTTTGAGGGGCTCAGGGTGCGGGGCGCGCAGCCCGGGACTGTGCTCCAGCTGCGCGGGGGTGAACATGGCGGGGCCGCGGGCGCTGTTTCTCCTGGGCTTCCTCGTGCCCGCGCTCCTGCTCCCGGAGGCCGCCAAAATCCTGACCGTGTCCTCACTGGGTGAGTGCCCTGCCAAGTATCCCGAGACAGGCGTGTCCTGGGCACCGGTGCCAGAGCTCCGGCCAGCAGCCCTTGCACAGCGCGCCAGCGCCTGCGGTTTCCCAGACCGGGCTTGTGTCTCAGGCTGGAGGAGGGAGAGGCGGCGGGGGCCGTGGCGCCGGGAGGGGGCTCCACCTCCCGGAGAAGTGAGTTCTGGAGAATCACTGGTTTCCGGTCCACTCCTAAAAATCGGTCTGGACGCGCGTCCCATTGTGTGCATCTGGGGCCAGTAGTTGTGATCCACGGCTGAGCTGGAGACCGCGGGCCGCCTGCTCCAGGGCGCTGGAGGCTCACCCCTAACTTTAGCTGGGCGCGGTGGGTACCAGCAGCAAGTGGGAGGCGGAGTCCATTTCAGGCCCTTGGAGACCGAGAACGGGTGCTCTTGGGGGCAGTGGTGCAAATTGGGATGCTTCATGACTAGGAAACCTGGGGATCCCAGACAGAGGAGTGGACCTGGGGCAAGGGAGTCCTTGGGCTGAGGGTCTCTCTCTCTCACCTGTCCTGCTAGAAGTTCTGACAGACAGTGAAGCAGTTAATTCTGCACATTGTGGACGTAGTTTTACTTTCTTTCCTTTTGCCCAAACGGGAACAGAGGATGAACCCGAAATCTTAATCAGGATAAGGAGTCAGTATAGGATGGAGTTTCCTCAAGATTTATTCAACCCATCCTGAAGCCTTCTGGGTTCCCTCATTCAACCCATCCTGAAGCCTTGTGGGTTCCCTCAGTCCCTGCATTTCCTGAGAGGGAAACTGAGGTTAGGGAAATGAGGTGCCCTGTGCAAGAGCCCCATGCATCTCCGGAAAGGCACCCGGGCAGTTTACTCAGGATTTCTTAGTCAAAACCATCCTCTTCCACAGATTCCACTCTGTCGCTCCTTACAGTGGGGATTTCTAAGAATCAGCATTTAAAAATCCCTTGCCACATTTTTCAGCCTTTTTTCCTTTCTTCAAATTTTGTGATAGAGACAATGGAGAACAGAACCGTCTGCACCTCTGCAAAGTACCTGCTCCCCTGCTTCCGACTCTGCAGGGAGCTGATGGCGCTTTGGGAGGTGCTAGAAGCCTGGCCTCTGCCCCTTAAGGGCTCTGGCTCACCGAGACTCACATGACTGGCCGTGACTATAGGGACCCCTTCCACGTGCACCCATTTCCTCCACAAGTTAAATGTGAGCAAGAGCAGGCGGCAGGCCGAGGGGTAAGGGAGTTGAGTTTTTTGTCAGTGCTGTTCCCTCAGGCAACACAATTGTGATAGAAGAAGTAGAGTAATTGCCAGACATGCACACTATCTCTGTAGTGCTATCCTCCTCTCTGCTGACCCAGTCACATGGGCCATCCTCTCCCAAACACCCTCCACTTCCCATCTTTGGCAAAATCTATGCCTTCCCTCTGGTCTGGGTTTTCCTGCTGCTGAGACCCATAGATTCAAGAGAGACGGCCCAGGATGGATGGCACAGAGTTTTAGGCAGACGTGGAGTGATGGGTCTTGGACCTGTCTGGAGGATTCAGCTTCTCTTCCCTTCGGGTCCCAGGGTTGGCCTCCTGTGGGTATGCTCCAGTGTCCCTCGCACACAGGATCCTGCAGACCCGGCCCTTGGGCCCCACAGTCATCCTGAATGTCTTAATTGATGTACAAAATTGAGGCTCCAACTGGCTCTAAGTGGTGGCTCCACATGTTTTCCTTGCAACAGCTGTTTCTTGGACTCAAATTCAAGCCCCCATATTTCTAACTCCTACACTATAATAAATTTCCAAAGAGGAGCATCCCAGAAATAGCTCTGGTTGATTGTCTGTTTGGACCCTTCGCATCCACATGCACAGCACTGTTCCACAGTGACCACCAGTGCTCTCATTTTTTTAGGACGTGGTGTCTCCATGAGCCCGGCTCACATGCAGCTTGTGCCTCAGAGTCAGGAACTCCTAAAACCTAAGCCCAGAGAAGCTCCTCACACTGACGGAGAGACAGAGTCAAGGGAGACCAAAAGGGTGTCTCTGTCAGTAAAGGAGATGAAGTGTCCTCTGGTTGAGACTGCCAGAGGCCAAGGTTCCAGGCAGACAGGGGCAGGCATCTGGGCTTAGGTTACGCAGAGTGAGAAAGGGGACTGAAGAAACTCATCTTCCTTTCTTCTCTATCAATTTTCTGTTGTCTTACCCAGATTTCCCTCCTGCCACCTCACAGCACTTTCAGACCCTCTATTCTTATCTTTACAAAAGTGAAACTGTGTATTGTTCCTAGGAGGAAGCCATTATCTGCTGTTTGATCGGGTGTCTCAGATCCTTCAAGATCATGTTCATAATGTCACCATGCTTCATTATGGAGGAAATATTTTAATCTCAGGTAGGTTTTCTGCTAGTTATTGAACTCTTCTATCCCAGCAATGAGAGACAATGCCTTTTGTATATTATGCTTTGCAGAAAATCTTTTGAATCTCTTTTTAGTGAAATATTGGACAAAATATGTGTTTGAATGTGTTTATGTTAATTGGTGTATATGTTAATTAGGCTCTGTACCTGATGTCTACATACCATACCTCCATATTTTACCTTTGTCGTGACCCTTCATTTTGGGCAAGCCACCATATGTTATTATTGATCATATGATAACTACTAGTCTGTGTTGTTGCTTAAATTTGTATTGAACAGAAGTGTTCAGCCATGTTTAAGGCTTCTATTATATAATTACAGCTGCTCTTCCTATTTCGTAGGTTACTTTCTGCTCCTGTTATAAGACCTGAAATTTAAGAAAGCTTCCTTAGGATGCCTTTTATTTAGATACTAGGAACAGAATCTATCACTGAGATTATCTCATATTCTTGAATAATCAGTGACTGCCCATGAATCGTGCATAGGAATATCGGAAGTTTTTGGGTCACTGAATCCGAAGAATTTTAGCTCCAATGAAGCTCATCAATCTTGTCAACTGTTTTTTGTTGACAAGCAAGGACACAGAGGCCCAGAGAACTGAAATGATTTGTTCAAGTTCACATGGAAAGTTAATAGTACAGTTGGGTGTATCTGGGACTTTAAGTAGTGGGTTTCTTATTCAAACTTGCTGGAGCTATGATTCTTTAAAATGTTCCAAATCTGTGATGAAAAAATGTCTGAATAATTATAAAATTTGAAAATGAACTTCAGGCTTTGTTATTGTTCAAAATGTTCTACAACAGTTTTGATCACCTTCTAGATTGGGTTCCATATTGTTCACTGAATATCGTTCTATACATACCACCAAGTATCTGCCTTGACTGTCAGTCAGGGTAGTTGAAGCACATGATCATTTCATTTCAGTGGGTCCTTTGGCTTTGAGAAACTATTGAAAGCTTTTGTCCTTTTACCTGTTCTACAAAATCTAAAACAATTCACCAGATGCACGGCCCCCTTAGGTTTATCCTTGGGCCCAAGTTTTAATAGTCCAAGTTTTAATATTCTTTCAATATTCACATACCAATGGAAATTATTGAGGTTTTTAATGGAATATTAATTTTTCTTTTAAGGAGTAGATTTGCATAGAGTTCTGACTCGACAATTCTTATCTCCTTCAGCCAGTTAATTCAGCTTTCTTTGGGTGCGTAGGTAGGAGAGAAGATCAGCAGCTAATAAGGAGGTTCTGTCTTGGAATTCAGGCTTTGGATTGGACTCCTGGGCTCCTCCCTTTACCTATCAAGTGGTGCTCACTGGGCCTTGGGAGGGAAACATACAGTGTTTCAGTCTGTTGTCATCAGGTGAGGTCAGCTTCTTACTGTTTTGGGGCTTATAGACTCTGCTTAAAAGATACCACCACCTTTCCCTCTGAATTTTTCAACCAATTGAGAGAAAGTTATAGGGGTTAGACTGATGACGATCAAAATGTCACCTTCATCAAGCTGATTGGGGAACCTTATTTTTAGGCTTCATTGTATGTCAGGGCTGAGTAGCGGCTTGGAAAGAGGCCCTGTATGCCATGTGGGTATTGTTTTACCTCATCATTTATGGTGGCCATTTCAGAACTTGGGTGATATCTTCATATGTATGTGTAGAATTGTTCCCAGGAAGATTCAAACTCCAGAGCTTTTGCCTATGCAGATGTCTTTGGTATTCTGGAATTCTGCCTTTGGAATTCGAGCTTCTATGACCTCCCCAAAACCTGAACTCAGTCTCCTGCACTTGGGAAGACGTCCAGGCCAGATTTGGGCACCTCCTCTATGAACTGTATCCCAACCAGCCATCATGCAGAACCTGGTGTCCAATATCTAAAAAACATCTTACCATGTATTTACTATGTATTATGTTGTTTCTAAACAAAATAATTTTTTGTACTTTGAAGTAGGAAGTTTCTGTTGCCAGCTTTGGGCGCCAGATTGAAGTTCATTGTCTTCATTATTTAAAGCATTGTATTGACAGTAATAAACTGCACATATTTAAAATGTACATTTTGAAATATTTGGTTATATGCCAGATTTCTAAAGTGGCTGTAACTCTGACACTCTGACCATAGCTGTATGCAAGGTCCGTGTCCACCGCATCCTTCTGAGTATTTGGTATAGTTAGTCTTTTTGATTTTAGCCATTTTTGTGCAGATGTTTAGTTGCATTTCATTGCAGTTTTTATTTGCATTTCCTTCGTAACTAATGAGGCTAGGCATTTTTTCACCTGTATATCTGTCATCCATAAATCTTCATTGGTGAAATGTTTGTCAAATTTTGCCTATTTTTAAATAGGTTTTTTTTATCTCTTAGCAGAGTCTTTTGAAGAGCACAGTTTTTAATTTTGGTAAAATCTAATTCTGTACTTTTGCTACATGCATTAGTAGGAAAATATGATTTTTTGTTTATTCTCTGAATATGTTTTATTTCACTGATTGATTTTCAAATGTTAAACTAATCTTGTATTTTGGGAACTAACCCCACTTAGTCAAGGTGTATTTTCTGTTTTATATACTGTTAGATTGGGGTTGCTTAAATTTTGGCTTAAAATTTTACATGTGTGTTCATGAGGCACATTCCTCTGAAATTTTCTTGAAATATTTTTTTCTGGAATAGTAATCAGTGCAATGCTTTACTGCAGATAATGAACTGGAAAGTGTTCCCTCCTCAGTTTCTGCAAGAGTTTGCTTAAAATTAGTATTATGTCTTCCTAAATTGTTTTATGTACAATGAGAATTAGGATGTCCCTCCCCAACACTCAAATTAGGTTTAGATGTTGTGATTTATGGCATCACATAAACATCAAAAACAGTTATAAAAATTAGATGAACTCTATGGTTTCTTTCAGCTCTAGGATCCCCAGATTCTTAGGAATCCAAATGTGATCTGGGGAGCCAACTGTCCTTCAGGATGGGTTAAATAAAAGTCTGTTTTGTCTCATATGAGCTTAGATGCTCTTGCTTTCTTTTGGTTTTTAATTTGCATGGAATTTTTAAAGTTGTTTTCCTTTAAGTCCTTCTGTGTCTTTGAATCTAAAGTGGGTCTCTTGTGGACAGTGTGAATAATATGTTTATATCTACTCTGCCAATCTCTGTCTTTTGATGGAGAGTTTACTCTGTTTACATTTGAAGTAATTACTATTTAGGAGAGATTTCCTTGTCATTTTGCTATTTGTTTTCTGTATATAGCTTATAGATTTTTGTTCCTCATTTTCTGTATTACTGTTTCTTTTGTGTTTAGATGATTTTTTGTTTTGAAATATTTAAATTCCTTTCTCACTTCCTTTTGTGTATATTCAATAGCTATTTTTATGTAGTTACCAGGGGGATTAAAATTAACTAAATGTCACTAAAGCTATGGTACTCAAATTTAAATTATACAAGCTTATGTTCAATAACATATACAACCTGCTCCTTTATGGCTCCTTCCTCTCCTCTTTTGGTTGTTGATGATGTCACAAAATGACATTTTTATATATTATGTGCTCCAAAACGTAAGCTAATCTTTAATTTAAGTGCATTAGTTTCTTAAATTTTCTAGAAAACATAATTGGAGTTACAAATTAAAATAATACTAACTTAAAAATAATAACTTTAAAAAAATGTACTGGTCTTTCAAATCTAAGAAAGCCAAAAGGTACAGTAACAAATCATCGCTGCAGTAATGCTACTGACTTTATAAGCCCCATTTATTTACCTTTACTGAGATCTTCATTTCTCCATACAGCTTTGAGTTACTGGCTAGTTTCCTTACATTTTGCCCTACGGGACTCCCTTGAGCACTTCTTGCAGGGCAGGCTCTAGTGGTTTTGAATTTCCTTGGTTTTTATCTATCTGGGAATATCTTAGTTTCTCTGTCACTTTTGCTGGATGTAGGATTCTTGGTTGACAATTCTTTTCTTTTAGCACTTTGAATATAATTGCCCACTGCCTTGTGGTCTCCAAAGTGATTAGAAATCTTCTGATAATCTTATGTAATGAGTCATTTTCCACTTGCTGCTTTCAATATTCCCTTTATCCTTATCTTTCTAAATTTCAAGTGTCTTTATATGGGAATCTTTAGTTCATTTTACTTGGAAATTCTTTGGCTTCTTGGATATTTATATTCATGTATCTCATCAAAGTTTTCGGCCATTAATTCTTGAAATATTCTCTCTCTCTTACTTTTTCTTCTCCTCTGGCCTGCAATGCATATATTGGTCCCTTAGCCTATATGTTGTCTTTTCTTTGATCATTTAACTTTTTGTTCCTCAGACTTGATAATTTCCATTGTCTTATCTTTGGGTTCACTGATTATTACTTCTGCCTGCTCAAATCTGCCTTTGGATCATCTCTTGCAAAATATTCATTTCATTTGTTGTATTTTTTCAGTTCTAGAATGTCTTTCAGTTTCTTTTCAGTTTTCCTGTCTCTTCATTGATATTTCTATCTTTTTCATACCCTGTTTTCTTGACTCCTTAAGGCAGTTATTTTAAAGTCATTGGCTGGTATATCTGCCATGAGATCCTTACAGGGACAGTTGCTGTCAATTTATATTTTTCCTTTGAATGAGCCATATTTCCTGTTTCTTTATGTGTCTTGTGAGTTTTGTTGAAAACTGGAAATTTGAATCTAATAATGTGGTAAATCTTGAGAAGAGACTTTCCCCTTTTCCCAGGGTTTGCAGTTTTTTTGTTATTCTTTTTATTTACTTAGTTTTGGTTGTTTAAAGCTGCCTCTGAGGTATAAACTTAGTTCTTTCTCTTTTTTTTTTGAGACTTTCCCTGGACATGAATGGACACGCTCTAATTTTCCTGGTATATATAGTTGTTTTTGAATGTCTTAGTCTGTAATTTTTGTCTCCCAAAAGAGAAAAAGAGAATAATGAAGGAGGTAAAAAGTGTATCAAGCCTTTTCAATCCCATAGAAATTCATTCAGCCAGAAGGGAGATGCTTGCAACAATTTGGGTGGTGCAAAAACAATGGGTGCCTACCTGTTTGTCTGTACATCTATGATCAGAGGCAACAATCAGCAATCAGAGCACAGATACCTGGTATTTGGAGAAGATCCCTTCCACCTACTCTGACTTCTGACTGGTGTGCAAGCTTCTCTAAGAACACATGTATAGCAGCCTGCCATGAGGTTGAGGAGTGGGGAATTAGTACTGCTAGTGGGATAAGAGCTGAAATTATCTGCAGCTTAACTTTCACTGTAAGTTGCAAGCCACCAACTGAGTGAAATTCCAAACTATTATTTAGACAGTTTCTGCAGGTACCATTGTTGCCTAGATGGGGAGATAGTTTCCTGGTACTTCCTACTTGACCATCTTCCCAGAATCCTTCCAGCTCTCTTTTAACCTATAGATTTTTTTTTCCCCAGAATTTTTGCATATAAAAGATGAATGTATTTGGGTGAATTTGTATGTTAGTGTATATATGTGTGTGTGTGTGTGTGTGTGTGTGTGTGTGTGTGTGTATTATATATATAAAATGAAAGTTTCACCAGTTTCTATGGGAAAGTGTGTCCAGGATATTCTTTACACTGTCATGTTAGAGGACCCATAATGGTTGTTTCTTGAAAGTGTCAGGGATGGAAAGGCCTTCAAGGGACCAAATAATTATTTTCTGGAGTTTAACTGAGGTGCCATGGTTTTATGGTTTGTATTGGGCATACGTCCTTTCGTGAGAGCCTTTGTGAATGCATGTGGTCGTGAGTGTGGTCAATGAATCTCTGCAGAGGATGATGTCCTCAATGTAACGTCATACATGTGTCCTGGAGAAAGTTGAATGTGGTTAAGATTTTGCCAGCAAACACATGAGCAGGGCTGTTGTGGTACTCCATCCATGAGGAGTCAGTTAGAGATGATTTGTATCTTTCACAGAGGGAAATGAAGAGATACTGCAGCTGAGAGCTTATTAAAATGGAATTGAATTGAATGTGCAAACCAAATCTGTGATTTTTAAGGTGTTTATCAGTACTTAGATATAGTCATCAATTTCACTAACATTGGGATTGGGTCCTTAATATGATGGACCAAGGCATTAACATTATAGTAGTCCACTGCAAGGGCTCATTTATTCTCTCCAGATTTAAAAGCAGTCTAAATTCGGTTTTAATGGAGACAGTGGGGATAATCAGTCATTCCCTAACTAAACCCTTTGTAATAGGATTTAATGATTGAAGACACTATTTTAGGATATATTGGGTTGTATTAACAACTTTAATATGTTTGGCAGATCCGAAAGTTCTCTTTTGGTGCAGATGACTGTAAGTGCCACAACCTTACTTTTATTTTAATTTGTTGCTGTTAGAAAGAGTAATCATGCCCCCTGTGAGATAATTTAACAAATAGGTCATTTAGAGTATGGGATATTTAATTCCAGGAGTTAAGACAGGACATGTACATTTGACCTCTATTTAATATTCCTATAACTCCTTGGAGTATGGGAGGTGACTTGCTTAAATTTAGTGAGCCCTTCTAACGTATCTGTGACTTTTGCCTCATAATTAAGACTATTAAGTTTTGTCATTGGTGCATCTCATCTTATACTAACTTAGAATCTCTGATGTAGAGGCACAAAAGCCAATCTAAACCCTTTTTATTTTTCAGTTATAAATTTTGAAAAAGAAATGTTAGATTCCCAATATGTCAGAACTAAGACTTCTGTTTGTTTTTCCTCCTGACTCCTACACCTCCTTTCTTTTCTCCTCCCTTCCTTCTTTTGGTTGTAATTAGATATACTTTGGGGGTATATCTAATTCCAACCTGCTCATATTTAGAAGTTTCTTCCTCAGAGTGTGCCAACTAGTATCATTCAGGTTACAGGCTTCCCAGTGGTGATTGTGAGAGCCCTGAGATTAAGTTGGATTTGAATTAATGCCTTGGGGTGCTGGGGGATGCCATTCATGTTTTTCCCTATTACTTTATTAATCAAGATATTTTTTGGCTGCAGAAATATAATCAGCAACATAGCAAAGGCATTTTCAAGGGTCCTAGTGCACCATATACTTTCAGGAGTATGAATCTCATCATGCCACATGGTGACTGTCCTTCTTCACACCATTCAGTGGGCTTGTTAGTATCAGTCCTACCCCCGAGTACTGTTTACAATGGGGTCATTGCCTGGCTGAGACACACAACCCGTTGGTCACAGGATCCTACCTAGCCTAGTGTCAATCACTGCTCATGGTGGAACTGAGAAATACTACCTAATCTGACACAGCCAAATAGGGCCAGGTGAGAGACAGGACCTAGGGCCACTTAAAGGCTAAAGATGTTTTTTGTCTCTAAGTGCCAATTTTTGAGGCTTCCAGGTGGGAGTGAGGTGAGGGTTCCCTTATCTGGGTCTGGCTTGCTTGGTTTGAAGATGTTGCTCACACCAAGGAGGGCATGCTGGGGCTTCTCAGTTTGCCCAGGTAAGGCACAGAAGTTTCAGGGGGAGGTGGGGCTTAAACAATGTCTGCCATCAAAGTTCAGATATGGTGTCAGATTCTTTATTACATGTGGCTATCGGAGAAAGACTAGACTGGTAAGTAGGGCTGCAGAGGACTATCTGTTGTAATTTAGCCTTTGGTATTTTTTGGCTGAATAATAACCTTTGCATGTATCACTTGAATTAATGAAAATGATTTTTTGTTCCTTAAAGAGAAAGGACTGGGAAACTGGAATAAAAAAGATCTGTATTTAAATGCAGAGTATACTGCTCAGTCTATGTGCTGCCTTGACAAATTGTCTGACACTCCATTCATCTCTGTTTTCTTACCTGCAAGATGAGGAATAGCTAGCTATTCCTTTAAATGAAAGCCTTACATGGAAACTTCAAGTATTTATACTGAATAAAATTGAGTGAATCATTGTAAGGTTCTCTGTTAATATTATCGGGTCATACAATTGAAGGAATGAGAAAGAAAAAAAGAAACCTCAGAAAGCAAACATTCAAATAAATGAAGTTATTGGAATAAGCAAGCTATGATATCATTATATTAATGTTAATCAAGGTTGTGTGACATATGTAAGTATTTTCCTATTGGTGTCTTTGATTTAGAAAAGAAGGAAAAAACATACCAAGCTATCAGTTGGCGTCTTTCTGAAGACCATGAAAAGGAAATAAAGAAATGCTTTAATTTTTTTGTGACAGAAGCTCTGCATGGCAGGTAATTTCCTTTATTTTCAGAATGAAAACTGATTGTTTTAGTGATACAAATGAATGGTGCCTGGATATTTCGGGTGAGTTTAAGAGAATCGGATGTGTTGAAGGATGAATAGATGGAGGGAGGGATCAGTAATGGGGGAGGTGCATGGATGGAGCAGATGGGTATTGTACTGTCATTCATCCAGTCTGTGTACCATTCCTCCTTTACTAAAAGCATAGTGTCATAGACAACAGTCTTAATTAGATGTCAGTAAAATTTTAGCTTTAACTTCTGTGAATGCTCTAGCAAACATCAAATGTAAAGGCTAACAATTAGCTTCAAATAGGATTTTTAAAGTTTATTTTGTTTTAAATTGTTTAACTCTCAGGCTTGGAATATGTTAAACTCATGTTCAATTTAGGATTTGGGTTCTAACCTTGACATCAGAGTTTCCTTATATGAGGCAACAAGATAGTCACATATAAAAAGTCAGTATACAGATGAAAATTAAACAGAGCCTCACAGAATGAATCTAGCAGGCATGGCTCTATGAGATCTGCTACAGGTAAAGATGGCTTCCAAAGCTGAAGGACTTCAAATTGGCATTGATGGTGTGTGAATTTGGATCTGCCAGAGAAAGGGGTGAAGAAGGTGAGAACATTTTATGGAGCAGAAACATCTGGAACAGAGTGGCCAGGAGGGCAGAGAGTGTATGTTGGACTGTGGTTAAGATAGGGGACTGCTGTTAGATATGATCTTACTTACTAAATATTTTCTCTGAGCTGAAGATTTTCCAAAGTATTGTGAAATTAACACCTACAATGAACATTTGTCATTCATTTCTTTCTTACAGAGAAGCACATGAGAACTTTGTAAAGTTAATGGAACAACTGGGGACTCGATGCAGTCATTTGCTAAGGAGAAGTGATATCATGCATTCCTTAAAAAATGAGAACTTTGACCTGGTATTTGTTGAAGCATTTGACTTCTGTTCTTTCCTGCTTGCTGAGAAGCTTGGGAAACCATTTGTGTCCCTTCTTCCCACCCCATTTGGCTCTGCAGACTTTGGGTTACCGAGCCCCCTGTCTTATGTGCCAGTATTCCAATCCTTGCTAACCGACCGCATGGACTTCTGGGGTCGAGTGAAGAATTTTCTGATGTTCTTTGATTTCTCCATGAAGAACTGGAAAATCTACTCTACGTTTGACAACACCATCAAGGAACATTTTCCCAAAGGTTCTAGGCCAGTTTTGCCTCATCTTCTAAAGAAAGCAGAGCTGTGGTTTGTTAACTCTGACTTTGCCTTTGAATTTGCTCGGCCCCTGCTTCCCAACACTGTGTATGTTGGAGGCTTAATGGCCAAACCTGTTAAACCACTGCCACCAGTAAGTACACCTTAGCACTCAGTGAGGACTTGATGCAGAGCCCTTCAGTGCAGAGCTGGCAGCTGCCCCTGCCAGTGGGATCATGGGAGTGAAGTAGGTTGTGACAGCCAAAATACCTAATGTACTTCCTTTTATATTGTGTTATACTACATTATAATTTCATGTTATGTTTTATTATTTATTTATTTTATTCTGTCATATTCTATACTATTCTATTTTATTTTACTGTGATAAGAAAACTTATTATGAGATCTAACCCCCTTACAAAGCTTTCACAGTATAATGCATTATGGTCTACAGGTACCACATAGTACAGCAGATCTCTGAAATTATTATCTGAAATTCTTCCCCTATTGAATACTAATGACCCACTTTCCCCTCCTGCAAATCCTTGAAACCAACTAACAGTATTTGATTATTTTAGATACTTCATATAAGTGAAATCATACAGTATTTACCAATCTATGACTGGTTTATTTCACTTAGCATAATGTCATCAGTGTTCATCCATGTTTTCACATGTTGCATAATTTCATTCATTTTTAAAGCTGAATAGTATTCCATTGTATGTATAAACACTTTTTGTTTAACCATTCATCTTTTGGTGAACATTTAGCTTGTTTACATATCTTGGCTATTGTGGATAGTGATTCAGGAAACATGAGAGTGCAGATAGATATATGAGATCCTGATTTCAATTCTTTTGGGTATGTACACAAAAAAGGGATTGCTGGATCTCCATTTTATTTTTTACTGGAATCTCTGTACCATTTTTCAGACTGATGCACTGCTTTGCATTCCAGCAACAGTGTGTAAAGGCTGCAATTTCTTCATACCCTTAATTCTTTTTATGCTGTTTTTAAGAATGGCCATACTGACAGATGTGAAGAGATATCTTATTGTAGGTTTGATTTGCATTTCCCTGATAACAAGGATGTAGATCAATTTTTCATGTACCTGTTGGCCATTTGTATGTTGTCTTTGGAAAAATGTTTATTCAAGTCCTTTGTCTATTTTTTAATGATGTTACAAGATAATTTTTTTGCTATGTAGTTGTAGGAGTTTTCTAAATATTTTGGAGATTAACCTCTTATCAGGTATTTGGTTTGCAAATAGTTTCTTTACTGTAGGTTGTCTTTACATTATTTTGATGGTTGATGGTTTCCTTTGCTGTGCAGAAGCTTTTTAGTTTGACATAGCCCCACTTGTTTATTTTTGGTTTTGTTACCCATGCATGGTGCTATCTCATTGCCCAACATCATGAAGTTTTCCCTCTATATTTGCTTCAAAGAGCTTCACTATTTCAGGTCTCATGTTTAACTCTTTAATTTGTTTTGAGTTGAGTGTTTTCTATGGCATAAGGTAAGGGTCTAATTTTATTCTTGTGCCAGTGTATATGCACATGCCAGGGTAGGGGTTCAGGTGAGAGTGTGTTTTGATTACTATCTGCTGGCTTTGGTGAATCTGGTTATGCATTTGCCTGAGGTGCTGTACTCTTTCAGCTGGCTTTTGGATTTCTCCCAAGGGGAATTAGACTGAAAAATGTTGCTAAATTGGTATTTTGTAGGGGCAGGAATTTTGGGGCTTCCTACCTTGCAATCTTATTGACATTACTCACCAGCGTGCACTTTTAAGGAAGCACTTCCTGCAAGGGTCATAGAAGTACTTATTAGGTCTTACATGACCCTGAGACTGAGGACCTCCTTAAGAAGCATACCCTAGGATCTTCTTATGCCTTATCCTAGTCCTAGCCTTGGTGATAAAAGCATTTTAATAAGTTGACATTTTCATTTGCATTTTTCATGATCACTTGTACAATAATTATGTAGTGAGAAGTCACATATTAAAGAATTTTTAAGGAAATTAGGTACCCATGATAAAATACACAACAAAATGAGACATGGTATAAACAGGCAGGACTGCTTGGGACTGAGAGCAAGGAGTACACATATGATCTCCAAAGTTTCTAGGTGTTAAGTTCTAAACAGTGTCCAGGTCATGTAAATACAGAGCCTGAGCTCAGAACCACTGTTCTAGATGACTTCAAAAGGGAGGAGAGCTAAGTACTGATTGATACTGTAGAGAAGGTGTCTCATATATTATAAATCATGCCACCAGGAGAGACTGTGAGGATCTGCATTTTTATAAATGAGAAGACAGAGGTTCAGGTGATAAAAATAACTTTTCTAGAACCATTCAGCTTATAGTAGTAAAAGTGCAGATTTGACCTGGGCTTTCCAGGCACCAAAGTGTCTCCCTCTTCTCCACTGACTTTGAATTCCATGAGCAGAAAGAGTTAGGGAATGCTTCATGGACAACATGGGTTTGAGTTTATGGCAGCATTTTTAGTGTGTCATCCCTTCCCATTTCATGTAGCTGGGGAGGGAAGACATACCAGGTTGGGAAAATAGGGCACCCAGTATGTGGAGCTATAAGTGAGATGGCCATAAGCCTGGGTCTCTTTGGTGACTCTGGCTAGACCAGAGTAGTAGAAGATTCAGCTGCAAAATAAAACCAGACCAAAACACAGTCGATCTTATCTGACATGATGTGGGTCATTCTTTGGAACTGGGACATGGCTCATTATAGAGAGGAATAACAGAAGTTAAGGTTTATAATATGTGAGATAATGGATGCTTGCCTTCTACAATTTTCTTCTCTTTCTCCGATTTTTTTTTATTATGATAAATAAACACAGTACAAAAGTTACCACTTCAGCCATTTGAGGGGTACAGTTCAGGGGACTTAAGTGCTTTTTACCTTGTTGTGCAACCATTACCACCCTTCATCTCCAGAATATTTTCATCTTGTCATAGTGAAACTTCACATCCATTAAACAATAATTCCTTATTTCTCTCTGCCTCCAGACCTTGGCAACCACTGTTCTGTTTTCTGATTTTATGAGTCTGACTATTCTTGGTATGATATATACATGGAATCATACATTATTTGTTCTTCTTTGATGGCTTATTTCACTTAACATAATGCCTTCAAGATTTATCCATGTTGTGCCATCTATCAGAATTTCTCTTCTTTTTAAGGCTGAATATATCGTGTATATATACCACATTTGTTTATCTATTTATCTATTGAAAAGCACTATGTCTACTTACAATTTGACTGTTGTGAATAATGCTTCTATGAACAGTCATGTATAGATATTTTGTGTGTCCTTGCTTTTAATTCTTTTGGGAATATAGCAAGGAATGGACTTTGTGGATCATATGGTAATTCTATACTTAATTTTTTGAGGAACTGCTGTACAGTCTTTCAAAGTGGCTGTACCAGTTTACATTTCCACTAACAATGCACAAGGGTTTCAGTTTCTCCATATCCTCACAAACAACAGTCATTTTCTATTTATTTTTAATTTTTGACATTATCCATCTTAATAGGTTTGAACTGTCACACTGTGGTTCAATTAGAATTTCACTGATAATGATGTTCCCCATTTCATAAGTTCATGGGCAATTTATGTATCTTCTAGAGTCTCTGCCCATTTCTGAGTCATGTTTTGGTAGAGTTGTAGGAATTATTTAATATGGATATTGATAAATGATTTGCAATTTTTCCCCCCATTTCCTGGACTTCCTTTACATCATGTTGATAGTATCCTTTGAGGCACAAAGTATTTCTTTGTGATGAAATACAATTTATCAGTTCCTTGTTTTGTTCCCTGTACTTTAGGTGACATATCCAAGAAATTATTACCAAACCCAATGGCATGAAGAATTCTCCCTATATTTTCTTCTAAGAGTTTCATAGTTTTAGCTTGTATCTTTAGGTCTTTGATCCATTTTGAGTTAATTTAGTATTTGTTATGATTGAACTTCATCATTTTGCATGTGTATATCCAGTTTTCCAACAGCATTTGTTGAAAAGGCTGTAGTTTCCCTAATAAATGGTCTTGGTATCTTTGCCCAAAGTTATTTGACTAAATATACAAGGGTTTATTTCGTGGCTTTCCATTTTATTTCATTGGTCTATATATATATGTTTTCCAGTACCACAGTTTTTTGACTATTGTAGTTTTGAAGTAAGTTTTGAAATCAGGAATTGTGAGACCTCCAACTCACAAGGACATTTTTTGTAAGATTGTGTTGGGTACTCAGGATTTTTTTTTGAAATTCCATATGCATTTTAGGATGGGTCTTCTGTTTCAGCAAAAATTAAAAGTTGTTCAATATTGACAGAGATTGCATGGAATCTCTAGATCACTTTGGATAATATTTAAATCTCTCAGGTCTTAAGTCTTCTAATCCATGAAGCCTGGATTTCTTTCCATTTATCTGTGACCTTTAATTTCTTTCAGAAATGTCTTGTAGCTTTCAATGTAAATTTTTTCACCTTCTTGTCTAAGTTTATTCCTATGTATTTTATTCTTTTGGAACTACTGTAAATGAATCCTCTAATCTTTTTGAATGTTCATTATGAGTGTATGAGTGCAGTTGATCTTTGGGGGCTGATTTCATTTCTTGCTATATTCCTAAATTTGTTTATTAGTTCTGACAGGATTTTGTTTTTGTTTTTGGTGTATGGTGAATCTTTAGTGTTGTCTACCTATAATATCCTACCATGTACTATTATTTTTTCAGATAATCTCTCTGCTCCTTTCTCTCTCTCTCCTCCTATGATTTTTATAACAACACATTTACTAATCCACACGATGGGGTCCTAAAGTCCCTTATTCACTTTTCTGTATTGTTTTTCCTTTCTGCTCCTCAGACTCGATAATTTCAAATGACCTGTCTCCAAGCTCAATAACTCATTCTGCTGTCTGAGCCTTCAGTTAAATTTAACTGCTGTTAAATTTAAATGCTGTTAAAATTCTTCAGTGAATTTTTCAATTCAGTTATTTTATATTTCATCTCCAGATTCTTTTTAAAAAATAATTCCTATTACATTTGCTACTCTCAGTTTGTTCCTATATTGTTTCCTTTCAGATGATTGCCCATATTTTCTTATAACAATTTGCACATATTTAGTCAGTTTTTAAAAAAGCATTTGTCCTCTAAATCTAATGCCTGTGGTTTTTCAAGAAAGGTTTCTGGAGATGTATTTTGTTCCTTTGAATGGCACATTTTGGCTTTATCTTAGCATACCTTATGATCTTTGATAGGAAAACGGCTGTTTGGAAAAACAGACCCCTCTGCCATTGTTTGCAGACTGCCACGGAAGCTCTTCACTAAGGAGTGAGGCATGTTTGATCCTTTGGATCAGACAGGGGTGAAGGCTTTAATATCTTTGCATGTATTTTCTGGGCGTTTGTCCTGTGTGGACCTTGGTGTATGCTCTTATTGACCTGATTCTTCCTTTATACCTGGCTACTTTTATTAGTTCCCAAAGAGTCTCACCAGAGTCGTCTTTGGGCCTTATACCCATAATCTCTCACCCGAAGGTTCTAAATTCTGTGGTATCCCCTCAGGTTTTGTATGCCATGCTGCCCCCTACAGTTTTGCAAGACTTCTACCAGCCTGATATCTGAGCTATACTGCATTTTCAGGCAGAGCTCCAAGTGTGGCAAGAGAGACACCTATCACTTGGAAGCCCATAAGGGGGTGGATTGTTGCAAAATGTTTCTATTCTTCTACTGCTGGTAATGACAAGGCCCGGACGTTGCCACGAGCCTGTGGCATGCTACTCCATGAAGAGTGTGGGGCAAGTGACAGTAAAAATGCCATAGAAACTCCAGCCATTTTGAGTGTGGTTTTTCCTGACTGCACATAAGTTTGTTTTCTATGTGTTATTTGCTATTTTCCCAAACCCTGAGAAGCTACTTGAGTCAGTCCCACAATGGATATGACACAGTGCAGAGGACACTGTGCTGACCTCAGAGCTATGAGATCAGTTTGAAGACAATGAGCTCTAGGCACTGACAAGAGGGTGTATTTCATAAACAGTGACGTTAATTATGGGCTGTCTAGGCTTTCACGAACAACTTCATTCACTTTTCCTTACTTCCCTTTCTCCAGGAGTTTGAGCATTTCATTGCCAAGTTTGGAGACTCTGGTTTCATCTTGGTGGCCCTGGGCTCCATGCTGGACACCTTTCAGTCCCAGGAGGCTCTCAGGGAGATGAACAGTGCCTTTGCACATCTCCCCCAAGGGGTGATATGGAAGTGTAAGCCTTCTCTTTGGCCCAAGGACATCGAGTTGGTAGCAAATGTGAAAATCATGGACTGGCTTCCCCAGAATGACCTCCTGGGTAAGGGCTGCCCTGGGCTGCTTGTCTTTTTCCATTTACTTGACTTTTGGGCCCCTCAAGGCTATGACCTTTAATAAGGAAATTCTATAGGTATGAGAAAAGCTGCCAATAGCTAAAGGGATGTCTCCAGAGGGCAGGAATGGATCAGCAGCTGCAGCTCTTGAGAAATAAGGCTATATTTCCAAAGGTAACAACAGCCATTTTCCACGCAGCCTTTCTACTCCAGTCCTGATCCCCGCAGCGAGGACGATGTTCTTTCAGGGTATTTCATCCGACCATATTATGACTCTACCACACTAACAAGTTCACCCAAAAACAATCCAGGGCAGTGTGCACCACAGAACACGTAACAGGGGACATGGTGACACTCTTCTCTGTGGCCTCTTGAGCACCTATTTAGCTACCTGCCATTATACAAACACCCACACATATTGATCATCCTCCTTAGAAGCATTAGAAATGAGCAGGTCATACCTTCAAAGAGTGGATGTCCGTGGTGTCTGGTGGGTGCACCAAGCTATCTGAGTGCCAGACTAGGTGAACTCCAGCCAGTTATGTGGCCCATCATTTCTCTGTAAACAGGGAGCCCTTACACCCTCAGGTTCCTTTTGTCCCTGTGCTGCTTTGGGCCCACCCCTCACTGCCATAGCCACGGACTGCATCATAAGTTCCTAATCGAGATAATGGCTCAAAGCATATTGGGAATTTAAGAGAGAGGAAGTGCTGCATATTTGATTCATAGAGCATGGGGTAGGGGAAAGGATTCCCATTCTCAGGGAAATACAAGTACATTCTGATGCATGTTGCTTTTGAGAAGTTGAGTTTGAAATGTACTCTTTGTCAACACTTGCTTTAGTGTTGTCTATGTAAGGGTAGGGTGGGCAGAAAGGAAGTGAAAATACCGAGGTATGTAGTCCATCATTCCTACTTTAAAGGATTTTTCATAAAATTGAGGAGAAAGTGCATGACTAAGTTTTATGAGTGCCACATGCATTTTGATGGCAGTGAAAGTGTGAAGAATTCAGATAAGAGGAAAATGAATGCACAGTGGAGGAGAGAAAGGGAGAACTAGAGAGTCAGAGAGAGAGAGAGAATGGGAGAGACAGAGACAGGGCCAGGCACACAGAGAGAAGTGGAGAGGAAGATGGAGAGGGAGGGAGGAACAGAAGGAGAGGAACGGAGAGAGTGCATCCTGGGAGAAGTTACGGGGGAAACAAATGGAAAAGCGAATTCAGAGGCAGAGTGAAGAGAGAAGGTAGGATGGATGGATGGATGGACGGGTGGGTGGACGGATGGATGGGTGGATGGATGGACGGGTGGATGGATGGATGGGTGGGTGGATGGATGGATGAATGGGCAGACGGATGGGTGGATGGATGGATAGATGGGTGGACGGATGGATGGGTGGATGGGTGGATGTATGGGTGGACGGATGGATGGATGATGGATGAGTGGATAGATGGATGGGTGGATGGATGGATGGGCAGGAGGAGGAATATGCCTCTCTTACCACTCTCTTCTGAAGAATCCCCGGGTTCTAAGCCTTAGTTGGATGACATAGACTTAGAGGCATCTCTGTGCAGAGACAAGCCCAGCATCTTATGTCCTGGAACCTGTCCCCTTGAGTGTGTCCTAGGCTAAACGAATAAATTCATTTTCTCCAAAACACTTCGAGATCCCATGATATTTTCTTCTGTCCTTGCTGCTTTCCCCATTGTTCTGAAACTTCCCATTCTGAAATGTTCTGCTCTCTTTATTTCCAACAGCTCACCCTCGCATCCGTCTTTTTGTCACCCATGGTGGGTTGAATAGCATAATGGAGGCCATCCAACACGGCGTGCCTATGGTGGGGATTCCTGTCCTTAAAGACCAGCATGAAAATGTGGTCCGAATAGAAGTCAAAAATTTAGGTGTCTCCCTGCAGTTAAAGCAGCTGAAGGCTGAGATGTTGGCTCTGAAGATGAAGCAAGTCATAGAAGACAAGAGGTACGTGGCTCTCTGGGTCTGGGGGCACATACGCTGCATGAAGACAATAAACACGAAGGGTACTGTGTGGATCTTGTTTGCAATATAGGCTGAAGCTTCCTGGACACAGAAAAATGTATGTGTGTGATGCTGACCCCTGACCTGCTTCCTGGGAAAGGAAGCCCAGGCAATTTAGGTTATAGGCTGAGAATAACCTGCCTGAGGGGTGGTGAGGGACACGACGTACATACGGGGAGTCTCTGAGAACACTATATTTAACAGGCACTTGTGTAGTAGGGCTTCAACTGAGGCAGGAGGTAGCCCTTCTGCCCCCAACATGCCGCACTGTCCCCACGTCAGGCCCTTTGTCTGTGCTGCGCCCTGCAGCATCCTCCCCTTCTGCTCACAGGCAGCTCCTGATGACATTCAGGTCTCCCCTGCAATGTCGACTCCTCAGAGGGGTGGCTCCCACTCTGACAGTCCTACCTGGACTCCTCTCCCACCCACTCCCCTCGTGATTCATTATTTTCTTCTTAATAATCCTTGGGATCTGTAACTACCCCATTTCCTTATGTTTTAGATTTAGTCTGTCCCCCCACACTAGAGTGCAGAACCTCAGCTCCCCCAGACAGAAACCTGTGTCTCGTTTCCACTATGTTCCCAGGGCCCCCCCACTCAGGGCTGCCACAAAGTAACTTTGAATGAACTTCTGGTATGTGAGTCAGTAAAAGGGACCCATTGATGCCAAGGTAAATTGCCATCAGACACAATATATTACTTTGTAACCAAAATGGAATATCTTACAGGGTTTCAAGGATAGAAGCTCTGCCTCATGAATGTAGTACATCATATATACACATACCTACTTTTCCCTTACTGTGCCATAAGCCTTTCTGAGTGGAGACTAGTCTTGACTGATGTAGTCAATTTTTTACAGGTTAGCACTGAACATGGGTCTTTGCATGCAGGTATCAGTTTGAACTTTTCAAGGGACCCATCTAGACATTGGCAAGACCAGGCCAACATCCTTTCCTTGACACTGAGTCTTTTTTGTGCATACGGTGGAAAGCGCGTGTTCTGTCTAATGCCAGGTCGCTAAAACTTGTGAGTTCTCTGAGTATGTCATGCCCTGTCTTCCCTACAGGTACAAATCAGCAGCGGTGGCTGCTAGCATCATCAGGCGCTCCCACCCCCTGACCCCTGCCCAGCGGCTGGTGGGCTGGATCGACCACATCCTCCAGACAGGGGGTGCAGCACACCTCAAGCCCTACACCTTGCAGCAGCCGTGGCATGAGCAGTACCTGCTAGATGTCTTCTTGTTCCTGCTATTGGTCACTCTGGTTGCCGTGTGGCTCTGTGGGAAGCTGCTGGGCATGGCGGCTAGGTGGCTCTGTGAGGTCAGGAAGCTGAAGGAGGCCTGAGTCCACGTGCAACCTGTGGAGGGAGGGTTGGGAGACAGTGACTCTTAGAACGTTTCCCCAGCATGGACCGCCACTGGTGTCTTTTTCTCACAGACACTCAACAGTGGCCAGAAAATTGCTCCTTACAGTTCTGCCTCTGTTTAGACAGCCTTAGAAGCACTGCTGGGATTTTTTTAAAATTCTGGTAAAATAGACATCGCATACAAGCTTCCATTTTTATCATTAAATACACAGTTCAGTGACCTTCATGCTTTCACTTTGTCATGCCTCACTACCTGCCACACATCTCTACCATCCAATTCCACGTCATCTTCTCCTTACCAAAGTAAAACTGCACCGACTAAAGAGTAACTCCCATTCCCTGGCCCACCCCCTGCCTCTGTCCTGTAGTTGGTCAGAGCCAGCCCCTCCCAGGACCACGCTGTGCTCTCTGCCCTGAGGGGGCCCTCCTGCAGGGAGCACCTCCTTTGCTGGCAGGCCTGGCGGACTTCGACCCACAATCCATGCTGTGCTTTCCTGTGATTACAGTACCCTTTTCAAGAGTCCCGTTCTTCAAAATATGGTCACGGAAACTTCACATGGATCCCGGCACCTCCATGTATGGCTTTGGGGCATCAGGCCCGGTGTCTGAGGCAGTGCTGAGACCTTCTTCGGTTTGGAACCTTCACATCCACCACCCCTACATGGCAGAGAACATCTGTGCAGGCAATCCCTTAGGAATAACATTCAGTCCCTAGTAACACAAACCAGAAATAGTATGGCTTTATCATGTGGGTTTTTGTTTGTTTGTTTGGTTTTTCAAGTCTAGATCAAATGTGGAGGCAGTCCGTGGAATGCTGATTTGATGGCTCTATCATGACTACAGAAGTTTCTCCCCACACCTCTCTTTCTATGTATCTATATAACATTTATATATATACGTGTGTGTATATATATATATGTAATTTCTGTTTTGTTCTTCTTTTGTAAATTGATGTACAAAATTGCCTTTCTTGTACAAGTTTTTCAAGAAATATTTCATTTTCAAGTGATTATGTTATCATATTTGCTTCTCCATTCTTAGATGAAATTAATGCTCCTTCTGAAAGTTTTCAGATTTATGGTGTCTGAGGGGTTTAAAATATAGAGAAGAAAACTTCAGACATATGTAGTGGCCCTGGGAGAACCATAGTCTTGGATTGCTTACTTTTAGGTTCCTGAAACAGATCTTGTAATAATTAAAATAAAAAAATGAAACATCTGCTAGAAATACTTCTTGAAGAAATAGGCAAGTCCTCCCATTTGCCAATTCTAAGAAAATATTTTCTCTGGGAGTCCGCAGTACTGGGTGGCTAGTTTCTACCCTTCCTATGAGTTCTGATGTTGCAAGGAGCATGTCACAGGCACAAGTGTAGGTCCTCAGGGGGTGTGTATGTGTGTCAGACAAGGTTTTATTTTTGTATTTCCTATGAAACCCTTGAAACGGTCTGTGCAATTGTCTCCTCAAGTGAAGATGTGGAAATCCCTTGTGTCCTACTTGAATCAATAGCTACAATTTTATTTCAAAATGACCAGCACTGGGATGGTAGGATGAGGCTCCCTGGCTGGTACCTCCCTCTCTCCACCTGCAGCTTGCTGTCTTCTCCCAACATCTGGTCATTCATTAAGGCGAACTCTGTGGCAGGTGCTTCCTCAGACCCATCCCCATCCCTGAAATAAGATCAGTAGCAGCCAGTGATCCAAGGAGAATGTTCCCCCAGTTTCTTCCCTCCAAGCATCTTCCACAGCCTTGCCAGTGTGGTCTTGGCAATGTGGAAATCTGATCTCAGCACTCCTTTATTAAAATCCTTTGCTGGGAGAAGGGATTAAAGATGGTGGCATGAGAGGTGAGACAGATGCTTCCTCCTAAAACTGCATATAATTAGTACAACTAATCATGAGAGAGCAACAGGAAAGAGGACTGTGCCAGACTGCATACAGCCAGAGAAAAGAGCAGACCTCAACAAATGGTGTAATGTACGAAAGCTGTGGCCTGGTGGGACACAAGCCCCTACCCCACCCCAGCTCAATGGCGGGAATAAGAGAAACTGAGTAGGGAGGGAGGGGAGGCCTGGGACTGATGAACACCTAACTCCAGAGATCTGCTCTGGGAGCACAAACCTACATTTCATGGTGCTTTCATGATACTCTCATGATTACGGGGTTGGAATGCTGGGAAAGGCGGAGTTCCTGGAGAGATTGTGATTTCAGCCACTTGTGGAAAGAGGGATCCATATCCAGCTGCTCTGGGACAAAAGCTTATGCCTGTGTGCTTGGCCTACTGGTTCAGGCAGTGGAAGCAGTCATAGCAGTGGGGAAGCAGGACTCTTTCCTACCCTCAGGCACCAATACCACTCCCCTGCAACCTCTGATAAACTAATACAGCTCCCAAGAAAGATTTAAATTACATGGACCTCGTGACTCTAGCTGAAAGGGAGTTCAAAATAAAAATCATTAACATGTAATGGAAGTATGGAAAGATACCCAAGAACTCAGGATTGAATTCCAGTCAGAGATACAATCATTGAAGAACAAAATGGAGGGTATTAGTACTAAAAGCAGGTTGGATATGGTGGAGGAGATGACAAATTAAATAGAAACCAGTGAAGAGAAATACAAAGAAGCTGAGGCACAGAGAGAAAAAAGGATCTCCAAGAATGAAAGAATATTGAGAGAACTGTGTGACCAATCCAAATGGAACAATATTCACATTATAGGGATACCAGAAGAAGAAGAAGAGAGAGAAAGGGATAGAAAGTGTCTTTGAGTAGCTAATTGCTGAAAACTTTCCCAATCTGGGGAAGGAGACAATCTCTCAGGCCATGACGGTGCACAGATCTCCCAGAAGAAGGGACCCAAGGAAGACAACACCAAGACATATAGCAATTAAAATGCAAAGATCAAGGATAAAAACAGACTATTAAAAGCAGCCAGAGAGAGAAATAACATCACATACAAAGGAAAGCCCATCAGGCTAACATCAGACTTCTCAGCAGAAACCTTACAGGACAGAAGGGGGTGACATGATGTACTTAATGCAATGAAATAGAAGGGCCTCGAACCAAGATTACTTTATCTGGAAAGATTATCATTTAAATTTGAAGGTGGGATTAAACAATTTCCAGATAAGCAAAAGCTGAGAGAATTTACCTCCCACAAACCATCTCTACTGTCCATTCTGGAGGGACTAGTATAGATGGAAGTCTTCCTAAGGTTTAATAGCTGTCACCAGAGGTAAATGAACCACAGTAAAGAACATAGAACAGCTAATTACTAAGCAAATGCAAAATTAAATTAACTATCCCCAAAGTCAATCAAGGGATAGACAAAGAATACAGAATTTGATACCTAATATATAAAGAATGGAGGAGGAAGAAAAAGGAGAAAAAGAAAAGAACCTTTAGATCATGTTTGTAATAGCATATTAAGTGAGTTAAGTTAGACGCTTAGATAGTAAGGAAGTTACTCTTGAACCTTCAGTAACCACGAATCTGAAGTCTGAGATGGCAATAAGTACATACCTATCTGCAATTACCCTAAATGTAAATGGACTGAATGCACCAATCAAAAGACATAGAGTCAATGAATGGATAAAAAAACAACACCCATCGATATGCTGCCTACAAGAGACTTACTTTAAACACAAAGACATACACAGACTAAAAGTGAAGGGATGGAAAAAGATATTCTGTGCAACTAATAGAGAGAAAAGAGAAGGAGTTGCAGTACGTGCATCAGATAAAATAGAATTCAAAACAAAGAAAGTCACAAGACACAAAGAAGGACATTACATAGTGATAAAGGGGTCAATCCAACAAATGATATAACCATGATAATTATCTATGCTCCCAACACAGTAGCACCTACATATGTGAAACAAATACTAACAGAATAAAAAGGGGGAATTGAATGTAATGCATTCATTCAGGGAGACTTCAACACTCCAGTCACTCTTAAGGACAGGTCAACCAGACAGAAAATAAGTAAGGACAAAGAGGCACTGAACAACACATTAGAACAGATGAACCTAACAGACATCTACAGAACTCTACACCAAAATGCAGCAAAATACACATTCTTCTCAAGTGCACATGGAATATTTTCAAGAATAAATCATATACTAGGCCACAAAAAGAGCTTCAGTAAATTCAAAAATATTGAAATTGTACCAAACTGTTTCTCACATCACAAAGGTATGAAAGTAGAAACAATTTATGCAAGGAAAATAAAAAATCCCACAAACACATGGAGGCTTCACAACATGCTCCAATATAACTAATGGATCAATGCACAAATAAAAACAGAGATCAAGCAATATATGGAGACAAATGACAACAGTAATTCAACACTGCAAAATCTGTGGGACACAGCCAAAGACATGCTAAGAGGAAAGTATATTGCAATATACTTTATTGCAATATACTATATTGCAATACAGGCCTTCCTCAAAAAAGAAATCTAAACTCACAATTAATGAAGCCAGAAAAAGAACAACAAATGAAGCCCAAAGTCAGTAGAAGGAGGGACATAATAAAGATCGGAGCAGAAATAAATAAATAAAATCAAGAAGAAAAGAACTACAGAAAGAACCAATGAAAACAAGAGCTGTTTCCATGAGAAAATAAACAAAACAGATAAACCCCTAGCCAAACTTATCAAGAAAAAAAAGAGAGTCTACTCACATAAACAGAATCAGAAATGAGAAAGGAAAAATCACTACAGACACTGCAGAAATACAAAGAATTATTAGGGAATGTTATGAAAAATTATATGCTAACAAACTGGATAACCTAGAAAAAATGGACAACTTTCTAGAAAAATACAACCTTCAAAGGCTGACCAAGGAAGAAACAGAAAATATGAACAGACCATTTACCAGCAATAAAATTTGAACTGGCAATCAAAAACAGACCGAAAAACAAAACACCTGGAGCATTTGGCTTCACCGCTGAATTTCATCAAACATTTAGTGAAGACCTAATACCCATCCTCCTTAAAGTTTTCCAAAAGTAGAAGAAGAGGGAATACTTCCAAACTCATTCTATGAGGCCAGCATCACTCTAATTCCAAAATCAGGCAAAGACACAACAAAAAAAGAATATTACAGACCAATATCTCTCATGAACATAGATGCAAAAATACTCAACAAAATATTAGTAACCCGAATTCAAAAATATATCAAAAAGATCATCCATCATGAACAAGTAGGATTTATTCCAAGGATGCAA